GCACACGCGCCGACGTTATCGATACGTTGGAACGTTTCTTTATCTCTCTTAAACGCATCCCTTTTACAGCGTGCATACGTCGAAACGAAACGAAACGAAACGAAACGAACAGGCGGCGGTTCGACGAAAACTAGTGGTACATCTGGCGTGTTATTATGGTTGCCGCGAAAGTAATCGCCGAGGAATCCGTCGACCAGCGGATAAAAACCACGATACTAGGGCTTGATGGATGAAGATCGATGTCGTGTACGCGGCAACGGCTTGCAAAAGCGAGCTCACCCACCCACACGACGGCGGCGACTCGCGCGCGCACGATCGACGTCGTTACACACCTCATATCCTTCCCTTCGACTTAATATCCTTCGACGCGCGAGGAAAGCCGCCCGCTCCCCTCTAGGATGCGAGAGATGGTAAACGCGTCAGGTGCTTCTCTCGAGGCACCACCAAAGCTCCTTTTACTCGAGTAGTACCTACTATCATTTCATTTCATTTCTTTTCATTTCTTTTCATTTCATTTCATTTCATTTCATTTCATTTCATTTCACTTTATTTTATTTCATTTTATTTTATTCGACTTATTTATAAAACTCGTCGAGCCGTAAACAGAATGTTTACGAGCTATTCCTATCCATCGAGAAGAATTGGAATCCGAAAAGATCCAGCGGCTTAGACCACGGCCGGACCTGTCAGAGAGCGATTATTGATGATACGCATTGATGGCCATCGAGAAAGAGCTGACCGCCGACTTTGCTTGGCAACGATCGCTAACGCGAATATAATACCGGCTTCTTCGCCCTATCTTCATAAGGGCGGCCAACAATACAATTTTCATTCTCGGACGAAGGGTAAACGCTTCCGCTCGCTCTCTCTCTCTCTCTCTCTCTCTCTCCCTTCTTGACGTCGCCATCATTTTCCATACGAGTGGGATATTCATTTTGACGAGGCATCGTCGACATTTCCCTCTTCGACGTTATCGTTCTTTCGCGGACACATCGGAGGTAATGGCGTGTGCCCTTTCGAAAGCCCTCCGTCACGGACGATTTTGCCTCGCGGCGACATTATTTATCATTTTCCAGTGAAGTTTCTTCCAGCATGTTTTCTCCTTTCGATTCCTCTTCGGTAGAAAGGTTATAACGCATTTGCATAGTTTCTTTTCGTACGTTTCATTTCTTCGGCTTCGTTCCTTAGCCACAGTAATAACTCGTCTCCAGTTAGGATTATCCCGTATCGTTAGAAATAAGAATGAATAAGTAGATGGAAGGAGAAAGACGAGCAAACAAAGCTGACGCTAGACACCGCACGTGTGTTTGTCGCTTCCCGCGGTGCCCTGCGAGAGGTCCACCAGAAGCGAGATAGGACTCTTCCGCGAACCTTTTCTGCGGCACGGTATCTCCGACGCACGAAGAGCGTCAGAACGAGGGAGGGAAAGAGAGAGAGAGAGAGAGAGAGAGAGAGAGAGAGAGAGAGGCCCGACTGACCCGTTGCGCAAATCCGTGAAGGGGAAGTCTTGCGATTCGGTATCCCGTCGAAGGGATCGCCCTTGCCACGTGACGTTAGTGTTTGCTGGGTACACAGGGCTCGGTGTTTGGTACACACCGTTCTGGAAGGCACAATGCTCGATGGGTTACCAAAACAGCGGCGCGATGCCGGCATAAGCGATATTTGTGTCAGCATAAAGGGTACCCTCTATAAAGCCACGTTAAAAGAACAACCTTCTCTCTCTCTCTCCCTCTCTCTCTCTCTCTCTCTCTCTCTCTCTTTTCTTTCCCTCGCGCTCGCGTCGATTTTCGCTCAAATATCGGAGCAGTCGAAAAGCAAGACTAGTTGAAGGAATTCAAATGCATACCGAGCAATCGGATTAATCTTCGAATATACGCGGAGAAACGTCAAGAGTAAGAGCCGTTGCCGTGGGATTAATCGGCATAGATAGTCGTGTAGCGGAAGATTATGATGGCTCAACTAGAGTGCGTCAGCTCCCACGGAGATCCGACGGGAGACAACCCTTCGTACACGGTGAGCCCATTTGTATGCAACTTTGAAAACAGGTAACAATTTTTCCTTATCAAAAGACCCTTATTATTCGTGGCAACTTTTAAAGTTTCTTTTTCTCCTCGACTTTGACGCGAGAAAAAGGCAGCTGAAAAAATTGGTCGTTCATCGACCGCTACGCTCTAGCCGAAACCCTGAGCAAAGCAAGGATTTCGAGCTAAACGACCGTTGACTAATGTCGCCAAAGACGAAAACGCTTTGCAGCCGGTTCGTACGCCGACGACAGTCGCATTAGCCACAGGACGAGATTACAATGGACCCCTCTGTTTTTCACGCTCGATCGGGGCAACTCGAAGGGAGAGGTAACGCAGCAACCCCCTTGCTTTATCCTTCAGAAGCACCGTATTTGCCGGAGGAGATTTGTGAACTAGTCGCGAGTGCTTTCTACGTGTCAAAAATTTATCGACCACGGATGGAATTTAAACGGACGAAATAGACTCGAGTAATTCGCGACCTAGTCAAAGATTTTTCTTTCTTTTCTCGAAGAAAGTAAATAACCCTTGATAGGGAGAGAGCGAGAGGGAGGGAGGGAGAGAGAGAGAGAATCTACGAGGCTGGTTTTACACCGTCGGTGTCACGCTAAATCTCCGATGCATTGTTCGCGCCCCTACTTCACCGCCACGATTTTCCATCGGCACCCCTCGGAAGCGCGTCACAGTCAAGCCAACCTCTCTACTCCCCCCGTTGGACTTTTCGAAACTCATTCCCCTCCGCGCGAGAGAGCATCGTGGCTGATCGCTGAACAAACGTATACATCCGTCGAATCGATTCTACGACAGTTATGCACTTGGATTCGCGTTGCGCGCGGAAACATCCTACTCCTTTTTTATACCACTCGAAGGATACCTTTCTATTCGGATGATTTCTTGGAAATAAAAGAATGTCGTATGTCGGAAAACGAGTCGAGAAAATGCAATCGCAAAAATCCCTAATACCTCCCCTCGGCCCCGTTTATTTCGAACGGAAAGAATAAATACATAAATAATAACGCTCGCAGGCGATTCGCTCGATTAACGAAGGCGATTAATAATTAAGATCTTTGACGCGGGACCCTAAAAAGCCGCGGGCAGTCTCTGCGTTCCACCGTCGAGAACAGCGGGTAATGGCAATTTACGCGTCCCACGGGACCAGATAACTTCATATCTGCTTGCTGATCATTCATTCTCTCAATGGCCATGATATTGCCAAATTGAATTAGATAAGCGAAGGCATGTATCTTCCGCGTACGTGCCTGGACGCAAAAGAAAATACCTCTCTCTTCTCTTCCTCGCAATTATATATATATATATATATATATATATATATATATCATCCCCGATACTTTTTCCGACATTATTAGCAAACGATTTTTCTTTCGCTCTCCAATTAATGATCGTACAAAGTTTAAGAAAGCTGATCGCAGAGATGAACTTTGATAGAGGCTAACTTACGATCCGATATACTTAACTAAATCGTAAGGGATAATAGTAAAATAATAAAAATTCTAAAGATTAAGTTGAACTGCCTCGAGTGCAGTTACGTGGTGTTTTGTTACCACCGATGGCGGATCGGTGCCACGTGGCCGAGATTAATGTGTTTTGATTTTTGGACTTTGTATTATAAGCCTACCCCGTCATCGTATACGAACGTTCTCGCACAGCATGATGCCTCGGCCAACTCGCCTCGACATATACTCCACCACGTGGTGCTCAGCTCCACGTTATTCTTCTCTGGTGAATCCTTTAGTGTCCTTCTGGAAAATCGCATCGATCTTTCTTTATCGACATGCGACGGATACTTAACGTCGAAATATTCGATAAAAATGGTGCGTAAAACGAAACGTTTCGCGAACAGCGAATAGTTTTGCGAATGGTAAGATTTGAAGAGAAAGGAGAAAAAGGACGGGTTGTTTGGTATACGCGTCGTTTCAATTTATCTCCCGTTTTTTAACGTTTCAATTTAATTAACGACACTTGAGCGAGCTAACGTCGGTCGCATGGACGACGGGAGTGGGAGACGACCCGATTAATTCCTTTGTCGCCTATCCGCCGTTGAAATAACAAACCTCTTCGACGGACGGGAGTCGAGAGGATACAAGGACGATAAAATCACGAGGGTTCACGGGATAAAAAGGCGGCAGGAGGAGGATGAGTGAACGGGGTGCGGAGGGTGGTAACGGGGCAGAGAGGAAACGACGATCGAGAATAGAAGAGTGGAATAGTGGGATGGAGAGAGAACGGACCTGCGACACTCTCTCCCCCGTCTTCATTTTCCAGGTTCGCGAAAGCCGACGGAGGGAGGAATAGCAATTAAAAGTATCTGGTACAATCTTCGTTAAACTTCTTCTTCCTCGGTCCTCGTTGGTGCGGAGAGACTGGCATTATTAAAACGTGGAGATGGAACGTTTCGTTGAGCGAGAGGTTCAAATTATCGATACTATAGACAAATTTATATTTGTCTAGTTTCTTTCTCCAGGTCTCCTCTTTGGCCGCCATCGGAGAAATTTCTTTTTATCGTATATTTTTCAAAAACGGTATATTTTTCAGGACAAAACTCAGCAGAAAAGAATCTAATAAACCGAAGAGGAGATCCAGTTTCTCGCCATTATTCCGTCGAAATACGTTCGGAGCCTTGGATGAGGACGAAAAGGAGGATAAGAGGAGAAAGAGGATGAGGGTAGTAGAGAAGGTCTGTAGTCTCCTGTCGGGAGCAAAACGTCACGAAGGAAGAGCCCCGGTTTATCGAGAATTTTGAGAATGGTAATGTAGAGGGTAAGAGAGCCGAATTCGCAGACGGAGGAAAGAGGAAGACGCAGAGTCGTGGTAAGAGGGAAGGGAAGAAGCGGAAAGGTAAGAAAGGGAGAACTTCTCCGGGTCTCTCCAAGTAATCCTGCTGCTGTTAGAGGAGAGGGAAGAAGGTACGAGAATATAGGATGAAAATACCTGGAGTTAGAGAGGTCTTACTTGACTCACCCTCGCGCTTACTTTCTTTCTCTCTCTTGCTTGCTCGCTCTCCTTCGCTCGCTCGCTCTCTCGTCACCATCTCCGAGCAGGCTTTCTCGTACCACAGCACACGCCAGTTGGTCCTAAATAAGACAAAAGTCATCATATAATTCCATGGCTAATACTCGGCTCGCATTAATTTCTCGCGAGCTTTACCCAATTTCTTTTCGAATTTCTTTCGAGAAAATGCTATATCAACGGAATACCACCTTCTAACGTTTTTGACTTTAAGTCGTACGTAAAGAAACCACTCGATAAGAGGGAAAACTTTGACTAACTGTGGAAAATTACGAAAGATAGGATTACTCGAACGATTACGCAAGAAATTCATTTGTGTCGCAGTTGTCGAGAACGGCTTTCACATTTACGATTGACAATCGTAAAACGCATGATGCTGCTAGATTATTCTAATTCTAATCTAATTTCTAATGGATCGCATCTTCTTCATCGTTGTTCGTTGTTCGTTGTTCGTTGTATAATACAATTCGAAGGGCGTTCTTTGTTACGTAAATACATACATGTATATATATATATATAATACATATACCTATAGACACATCGTGAAATAGATAATTATATAACATCGATAATTATATATATGTATATTATATATCTGTAAAGAAGGAACATTACGTCTTATCGTACGATTATAATTAATTTTAATACGTAAAAGCGGAAAAGAGAAACTTACATCTTAGTAACGTCTATACACGTCTTACCCATTCCGACGCTCGACTTTGACTAAAGACTTTTCAATACAGTGCCACGGATGACTTTGAAGAGACTAACAGGACGAATCGAGATCGAACGTATTCTAACTTGTTACCACAATCAAGGTCGGCAATCAAAATAGGATCATTACATTCTGCCTACATAACAATATTATCTTGTTTACAAAGAACATAGGCAGCGGGGCGAACAGAGAGAGAAAGAGAGAGAGAGAGAGAGAGAGAGAGAGGAGAGAGAGAGAGAAAAGTAGAAAGGCGGCAAGTGAGAGGAAAGAAAGAAATGAAAAAACAAATGTCGATGAAAAGGCGAGGTTTGACTCGACGGTACTCTCTTCTCGAAGAGGAGGAATGAAAGAAGAAGGAGAAGGAAGGAGTAGGAGAGGGTGCTTCGAGAGCACGACGAAGAATTCCGTCACGATCTCGTCCACGTTCGCTTTGTCCTCGGCTTTGATTTCTTCTCTTCTTGTTCCTCCTCTGCCTACGAACAAGAAGAGAGTAAAGAAGAGAGTGAGAGCGAGAGAGAGAGAGAGAGAGAGAAAGTCCACGGAGAGATGCAGACAAAGAGCGGAGGGAGGAGAAAGAGAGTGAGAGGGTTCGAGAGAAAGAGAGAAAGAGAGAGAGAGAGGGTTCGCTCGGTTCAGTACCGGGAGAGTGAGCGATATTTACATGCGATTTGCATACTAGTTGATCCCTATTGCTTCCATCTCCAACGAGCCAGCAGGGGCGGCAGACCTACGCCCGAACCCTCCGTCACGGTTCGTCCTCTTCCTCTTCCTCTTCCTCTCGTTTCGCGATTCTACGAGTATCTATATCTCGCGTTCTCTCTCTCTCTCTCTCTCTCTCTCTCTCTCTCTCTGCATCTCTTTCCGAGTAGTCTCCAAATATACCACGTACATTTCGCGCTCTTCTGGCAGAAACGCGTAAGCGAAACCCTTAACTACTAAAGCGAATCCGAGAGAGCGAGCGAGTTTCGACGTTCTTCGAATCCTCCTGCTCGTTATCGTGACCCTTAACGAAGTGTCCTGTAGATCCCTATGCTTCTACTACTCTCACGTAACTATAGCCGTGTGTGAGTACACGCGTCGATGGCGCATCGTCGACGCATCGTCGCGATATACTTCGGAGGATTCGAGGGAAAGAAAAAGGAAAAGGAAAAAACATTGTAGAGATAACGCGACGACAATACTGCACTCTATAGATATGCTAGAAAAAGCACGGCTAAAGCTTTCGGATTTCGGTAACAGGCTTCACGGATTTAACAGAGTTGGCAGAGCAACGTAATCGGGTCATACAAATGTAGCCGGCTAATTGCAGATAGGCAGACCGGATTGTCTTACACGTTAAAGACACCGTGAAAAGGTAAGGCGCCAGAGGATATTTTGGTACTTGATGGACGAAAAGAGAGGACAGGACGGAGTTTCCTATCTTGGGGACCAAATGGATGAGGCTAAATTAGTCGGAATAATCACGGTAACGGCGAAGAAAGAGGAGGAAAAAAGAGAAAGAGAGAGTTTCTTTTTCGTGGAACAAAATCTCGACTACGACTGTTCGCTATGCAAACGAAGAGGTAAAATAGCCGAGCATATAGGTTTGTATGAATATCGAAAAGAAGTTGTCGTCGAAACGACAAAAGGAGTGGGTGGGAAAGTTTGAAGGAAACCGCGCGTGTCCTGGTCCATCCATTCTCGGATGGCTACCGAGAGAAGAGCCGATTGATATCTGAGCCTCGTGCCACGGCGTCTAATTAACTCCGTGACTGGCTGACCCCACATGACCCGTGGCTCGTTGCATGCTCGTACGGTGCGCTCGTGTGCACAACCGCACACGTGAACTTTTCTCTCTCTCTCTCTCTCTCTCTCTCTCTCTCTCTCTCTCTCTGCCTCAACCGTACACACGTGTTGCATTGGCTCGCACACCTAACGGATCGCTCTCTTTCATCGCGAATAGAGACATCATCGTACCGCCGAGCCGTTCTCCGCGCGTTAACCTTAACGCTGTTGCTTCCTTAAGGACGAGCCTTTCTCGTCACCTCGAGCATCACGCTCTTACGATACTCTTTTCATTTTTCACGGGAGCCATCGTTTCATTATTTTTTCCCCCATTGACAAATCTCAGAACCGTGCTAACTTCCAGCCGCGCGAAAAATAATCGATCCGATTGAATTTGTAATTGGTATGTTCTCTCTCCCTTTTTCTCCTTCTTTCGGTGTATCGTTAATTAAAACGAACGAACGGGTTAATTTTATGCGGGTGGCGAGTCCCGCTCGGTATGCACGGCTTTCCCATTACGGCAATGGCTCCTTCTCCCCTTTAGCCGGCACGCTCGTCGTCCGTTGGTGTCACAAACGATCATGCTCTCCAATCGTGTTATCGCCTTGTCGGCGATTCGTTTTACTTGAAAATCTAAAAATAGAAATTTATCGTAGAAATGTAACAAACGATAAAGGGTAAAGCAATGGGAAGGTAACGAGTTCTTTAAAAATGCGTTCGCGTTCTAACCGCATGTCCGTATAAAAATGTTTCAACGTGGGTGGATAGAGAGAGAGAGAGAGAGAGAGAGAGAGAGAGAGAGAGAGAGAGAGAGAGGAAGCAATTGGAAAATTTTGAAAGCGCTACGTGACGAAGAGAACGGTGGTAGCTCCAGGGTGAAACCAGCGTGGTATGCAGGGTGTGGCGCGTGAGAGCTAGCTCACCTGAAACAACACAACGTTTTCAGATCGCTGATCCCATAAGCGTCCACGTTTGATCCCTCCGTTCGTTGTTTTGCGAGCGCATTCGCTTGCCTTCCGGTTAATTCGCGAAAAACTACACCGACGTACTTGGACTCGACGAGGATCCTCGCGCTGTATCAACCAATACTGACCGCGTTACCGGACGAAACAATACCGAGAGAGAGAGAGAGAGAGAGAGAGAGAGAGAGAGAGAGTAAACATTTTTCTGAAAGTTTCTTCTCCTAAGTCCCGGTAAAGTATCCCTACAGGTACAGGTCAACTTTCGAACCGAAATAGTCGTCCCACGAGCGGTGCGAAAAAAAATCCCTGAGAGAAGGTGCGAGAGAAGGGTGAGAGCGTGAGGTAGGGTGAGAGCTGGCAAGTCGCGTACAATGCCGGAGATATATCGTGGCATAATATGCAAAGCGGATCGCCCGTACCCGGCGGGGGGTGAAAGCAGGAGCCAAGGGGTGATTAGCGGGACAAAAGCCGACGCCGCTACAAGTGGAACCAAATTGGTAGAAAATTGATAATCAACCGCCAATATCAACCTCCATCGAGAAGCATGGCTCGGTGTACGTTCGGCGAGAAGCGAGAGACGGTCGAGGGTAAAAAAGCGCGTATATCGTGGAGAAGGGAGAAAAAACACACGCGCACTGCGTTTGTCCCTTCACCCTGCGTTTTACAAGAGCAAAAGTATTTATCCCTATCGGTCGGCAGGGATGTAAAAATGAAAAGAGAGAAAGAGATGGAGCAAAAAAATAAAAGAGAGAAAAAATGGTAAACGTTATGGTTAAAAGGAGTATTCGAATGGGTAGGTATATCGGGGTGTCGCATCTATCCGAAAAGTTCATCGTTCGAAAAGGGCTCCGCTAAAAGAGTTTTCTCTAGAATGCGCGAGCTAAGTTCAGAAACGACGTGGCAAGTGTGTAATCGAAAGAATCGTAGAGCACTTTTCTCATGCAAATACGGGCCGACGCTGCTCCCAGGGAGATACGAGTAACTTTTTCTTTGGTCTGCTTAAAACTTCAAACTTAGGTCCCTTTTAAATTTAAATGCTTTCTCCTCCGCTCCCCCGCTCCCTACCCTTCCATAGCTGACTCCATGTGTTCCGCTTCTTCGGGGTGACTCGCCGAGGTGAACCGGATCGACGACGAAGAATAGCGGAAAAAATAATAAAGCGACTCCGCTGACAAATTGACGGCTGAACTTTCAAACGGGAGATGCACAATGTATTCTCCTCTCTCTCTCTCTCTCTCTCTCTCTCTCTCTCTCTCTCTCCTTCCTCTTTTCTAACGGGAAACGATACGCCTCTACGAACGTCTATACGCGGTACGTACGACCGCGTACGTTTTTACGAACGAAGAAAAAGGAGGCGAAAAGTAAAAAATGCGAAACGCATGCGAAGTGTCCGATTACGTGCGAATGCCGTTCGATCGAACGTCACGGTGGGAGAGGAGTTATTAAAATGTAAATATAAATCGACAGACTGTGTGTAACCCAACGTGTCCCGTTAAGCACGAACAGCAGCAACGTTGGATAAAATTCTCTCGAATATGCACAAAAGTGCAACGACGTTCGAAAATATAGTTTATAGATGAAAGTCCAGTCGAATTGTTCTATCGAAATCGCTTAAATATTTCTTACGTACAAGCGCATTTTCATGATAATAAATTGAAATAAAACCGTGAGAAAGAGCCGCAGGACGGTATTTTTCTCGCCTCGTTGAGATCAAGAGTCAAAGAGATCCAACGACGATCGTAATAATCGAAAAGACATTCGAGATCGTCTTCGGCGAAGCTGTTGGAAATAAAAATTCCTCGACATTCTGCTTCTGTTTTTTACGAGGAGCCTCATAAATTTATGCTCAGGGATCGAACTCACCCTGCGAGTGCGCCTCACTCTACCCCATACCCACATACTGCCATGTTCCGCGTCGCAGATTTATGGACTTATAGATTCTTCCTCCTTCCTGCGACTTTCTCCGGATTCAACGAGGAGCTGGAATACATATAATCCTGAACAGCAGACAACTCTCTTCCTCGTACTCTCTCGCGATATTTCTCCTCCTAGTGTCGTCGTTTTTGCTTTCGAATTATTATGCGGAAAACAGAAAGAAGAGGAATCTGCTTGGACCAGATAAATTTTCTAAAAGAAAAGTGCACGAAAAGTCAGCGTGATCGGAAACATTCGCTAAGAGCAACCTCTCTCCCAAGATATGACAGTAATCGCAAACGATTCCTTCTTCCACGACTGCGATTTCATTCTTCGACTCTTCCTTCTCAATCTTCCCCCGTCTTGGCTCTTCGGCAAGGGGTCTTTTCCTTCTTCTGCTCTCTCTCTCTCTCTCTCTCCCCCCCCCCCTCCCTCCCTCTCTCTCTTTTTCTCTCTGTCGTTCACTCTGCGCGCCAGCGGCCGCGATA